TATGTGTTATAAAAACACAAATTACCTATTCTATTATTATTGCGATGCCGTCCTTATCGATTCTTACGTGTGTGATGGGGTGGTAGTGGCTTACAGTGGGGGTTGGTGTCGAAGAGATGGTGGCAGTTGCGGTCGATGACCTAGCTACGATAATATTATATATGTGTCGTGTGTGTGTAGAAATCGAAACGTCGTTGCGATTCACGGTCATCGGAAAACACGAAAGCGACGGCGGCGGGTCGGGTGGTTAACCTGTTGGCTCGGAGAGCAGCGCCCGCGCAGCAACAGGTAGACACGAGCGCTCGCGAGCGCCACCACTCCCTCGGCCATATTGCTGCGAAAACTACCCTCGTCGTCATATGTTTTACGAGCGCTTGTCGTATTTTATCGATTACTATACTATATTGGCCGCGAACGCTCTGGCGCAGAGAACACTTGACCGACCCAATGTCAAGGACGACCGCCTCACCCGGGTCCTGATGTATATACGTGGCTACGTACCGTAGTTCACGTGGCGCCTCGTAAATCCGCTCGATTTAATATTTTCCCCTTTTACCACCCCGTCACCGTGGCTTATATAATACTATGTAAGTAGTATTTCCGTCGTCCGTACACTGCGCACTATAGTACGCGAGTAAACACAATATAATATATACATTATGCGCCCCGTAAACTGATATCGCTGTAGTATATCGACGAGCGGCAGCGCGAGAGCAACTCGCACGCGTCTCTCCGTTTACACTGCTCGACACTGAAATAATATAAAATATACATTGCAATCACATGGAAAATACTTAAATTATTCGTCGCCGAACAACTACTAGTATATAACATAATAATATTATCGTTTTTCACCTTTACTTATCGTTTCGGTGCGTTCGTCGATCCGTCGTAAACTGCATACAGGTCTTCGCGGTGTATATGATAATAATATTATACGTATATAGTTTTGTCGATCATCATCATGACGATAGCCTTCCTCCAATGTACATCACTGAAACGTAGGAAAACCGGACTTTTCCGTCGTCGTGTGCGGTAGCCGGTAAGTGACCGAAAATTTATACATTATATGCGTATAAAATATGTATAATACAGACGTCGCTGCCGTCGTCGTCTTGAAACTTGTTTGAGCGCCACCGCTCGTTGTACGACCCCGGTTTTTTTTTTTTTTGAAATTTTATTCTCGTGCATCCCGTTTTTGTCAATTATATAACGACGCGGCTTTCGAGATATATATACTCGGACTTGGAAAAACTCGCGACATAGAGCGTATATACGAATTGCTTCATTATATACATCGTTTTATTATACGCCTACTTACTGCGGATAGGGTATTCAGATCACCTCTCGCATTTATCATACATTTTAATATATATAACATCGTATACGTTTTGGATTAATGGCCGTGTAATGAAACGTTCACCACGGACGACGTTCGGTACCGTTGATTTGATATACACCTATATATTATAGTATGTGCTTTTTATCGAAGGTAAAATAATAATATGAAATAGTCGTAGGTTTTCCTCGCGAAATACACGCGCCTCGTATATTTATACAAAAAAAAGCGCTCAATCATTGTGACGCATGAAGCGATATTTCAAACGACCTTTCGATTTCGCCGACAAAACTCGTACCAATAACTTTATAATATATATTTTATATACACACATATTTTATATATCATATGTTAGGGGGAAATATTTTAAATTCACACACAAACATCGTCTCGGACGCCGCCGCACGGATTATATTATAATATATAGAGAGTTGCAAATGTAGTTTTAATCGATGACCGTCGTCGATGCGATCGTCACCGTCGTCGCCGTGAGTAACGTATTTTTTTTGTTGAAATTTATGAACATAATCGCCGCCCGTCGTCTTTGTCGCTGCTGCACACGACAAAATGGTCTAGGTTAACGCATTGATGATATTATGATAATAACAACATACGGCGTCGTCGAGACGAATTTTCAGGTATTGATCGTTTTATTATTTCGGGTCAGTCAAAGCGTCTTGGAAACGAATCATAAAATAAAACCGAGAATTAAATGTCAACAGCGCCTAATAAAAAAAAATTTAAAAAAACAAACAAAATCGTCTCCCATAATCCTCCGTCTAAACCGGTTAAATGTCGTTAACACCGCTTCCCCATGCATTACTACTACCTACAACTACTACAGTACTACTACTACTACTACAGTACTACTACTACTACAACTATAGTACTACTACTACAACAGTATTACTACTTGTTGCGAGACGTCCGTCGTAGGTATACGGTCAGTCAAGTTACCAAAAATTCCTATATATATATACAAAAAAAAAACCGTCACCGAGACGCCGCGGTGGTCGTCGTACACACTTTTATTTATATCATATGCCATGACAGTGGGTATAAGGGTTTTAGATTTGTTGTGATTTCAAAGTGTCTACGAAAGGTTTGATAAAAAAATCGGATCAATATTGATTTCGGGCGATTATCATCGCTGATTTATGGTTTTATCAATTTTCGATAAGGTTTGCCGCCGCCGCAAAACGTGTACAGTCGGTCGCTGCAGTATCTATTTCCGGTACACACACTGCAGCAGAGACCATAGAGAGATGCTGTATTAGACACTGCTGCAGCCATCATAAGTTTATATAATAGTGGCGTGTTGATAACTATTTTCTTTCAATTATAAATGAGACGTGCAGTTACTTGTTGCATACCAGCTACCTATATGTATAATTACCAATAGGCTATGTATGTGCGATGAGAGGTATTTTTTAATGATTTGAGAGGAGTTAATAATAACTAAGAAGTAACACGTCATAATATAGTGAAACTTCCATATTAAAAAGTCTCACAGGCGCAACGAAAAAATTAGTATTATCGAGAATTTCGTTGAATAGAATTAGATTATTTTGGTTTGGTAGTCAAAAATATTTTACACTTTTACAGCAAATGTTGTTAAATGGAAGTTCTTTGTATGGAAGTTTCACTGTATAACAATTTATTCTATCCTGCTGCAGGGCAACCGCCAAACATTCCAATATTTCGATATTGGGAATTGTAATACATATTCTTATAGTTAGACGTATACAATAATATTCACTGCAGATTCCTCGGACGAGAAACGCCCATCGCGTCTACCCACCTGCATTTATATCGTTGCTATATTTAACTGATTCATTTACGCGATTTTGCAGTCCAATCCTCGCGAATCGTTACACTGCACTTATAAGCTGCAAAGTGTGAATTGGGATAATTTGTCGCCAGAATAAAACTGCGAACGGTCGCTGCGGGTGTAAATCTGGCGGCGTCACCTGTCTGAGGCCTCTACACGATCGTTGTAAATACGTCAAGTATAATGATACTATTTTACCGGTATCTGCTGCAACGAGGTGTCATCTCTCGTTTGTGCCAGCGAAATGACTCACTATACCTCCACGCAACTTTGCCGCGGTCGACGAGACTCCCCCGCTGTGTCCGATATACCTAGTTGGGAAATTTTATATAACACACACACACATTATAATATTGTATATAATCAAATATAATAATATGTATGTAATAATAAAAACATGTATTGTGTGTGTGTGTTATTGCTAACGATTTTTTTCTTCTCGCCGATTAACAATCTGCAGTAACGACGTTGCGTAATGTCATATATATATTTATAATACAATACATAATAAACGCGTCTCTTATAATATTATATCCACACACGATAATAATGATAATTTATATATATGTATATGTGTATTATGGCTATTATGTAATAGTATATAGAGATATTGATAATACAATTTATAATATTATTATTACCTCTCGCGTCCTTGTCAGGCTCGCGAGAGCACTAATTAACGACGCGTCGTGTCCTCAAACGTCGCCGCCGTAACCGCCCGTCGCACCAGGTATTACGCGCAATTTTTTTCACGCGGCGGTGAACGGGTTAGGTATTCTCTGTGTCGCCGTCGCCCTCCCTCGGCCTGACGTTATATCACGCTGTCAGAAAATACCTATACAACAATAATAATGATAATATTAATAATAATAATCAGGGCTCGGAATTCCATTCATTTGCATATTATAAATGTGATTCGACACAAATTCGTTTCAAAATACATTTCAACTCAAATCCAAAATGTATATGTTGCATATTTAACATATTTATCAGATTTAAGTGATTTTGCATATTTAAAGATTTTATACATTTTCTTGTTAATAAATCAAAATAAAATAAAAAATTTCAAATATAAAGAAATCGAATTTAAAAAAAAGAGCCATATTCTATATATTTAATAATTATTTTTTACTTTGCGTACCTATATTTAATATTATTAATATTTTAAGTTACCTAAATCAAAAACAGAAATTTTATTTTAATTACTGTTAGGTATAATGCATAATTTCGCATTTTTTCATACACTTTTTGGAATAACTGCATTGTTTAAAGTTAGTCCTCATGTAAATGCAAAGATATTTCATAGCGCACCTTTTAATTTTTTTTCAGCTTAAAAAAGTAATGTGAGTTCAACTTCCTAATTGACCTTATGGGCCCTGATATAACTCCGTTCTTAACCTAAAAGTTAAAGTCTGGGTCTGAAGAGGTTTTCCTCCATATCGTCCTTTTTTTATTCAAAACGTCTCCTTTCTTTGAAAAATTATTATGATAGTCGCAGCCGTTCAGAACAACTGATCATTAAAATGGGTTTTTCAATATTGCAGCACACCCTAAAAGAAAAGGTTGTGCTTGTGTTCTTTTTAACTAAATTATAATATGGAATTCTTATACACGAAAGGAAACAACATTAGTTTTAAGTTTAGTTATTAATATGTAACGATCCGTATTATAATAATTAATAACTAATAAGGGTGTTTAAGATCTCTGCACCAATAAAGGACGATCGTCTATAATTTTACGTTTTTCTTGTTTCAGGTCACCACCGTGTCTGTGCGCGTGCGTCGTGCGTCGTTTTGCGGTGATTGAACGTCTGTTCGATTAGCTGCACGAATGACTATGGCTGAGGTAGAAATGGAGCCGCCGACAGACAGGGCGAGCCGGTCGACGGTCTATAAGACCAACAACAACCATCCGCTGGCCACGAACAACAACAACCACCTGCACCACGTTCCCAGCACTCGTCCTGTGGTCGTTAAACACAAAAAGAGGAAACGCCTGAACCAAGTGCTGGACAGGTTGGCTGGCCAAGTGACTTCGCCCAACAACAACAATAATAATAACAACAACAACAATAATAACAATAACAACAACAAGAACAACATCGACATCGATGTCGTCGCCGTGAAAGAAGATGAGTCAACTATCAAGGACGGCGGTGGTTCGGTGACGGCCATGGTAGTGGTGGACGGCGGTCACGGCGACACGGTCGTCACGAACGGCGTCGGGTATGAGAGCGACGAGTCGCTGCGGAGGTCGTGTAAAGACTACGAGGAACCGTTCAGCCCGGCCGGGTCGTCGTCGTGCAACCGATCGCCGCGCAGCTCGCACACCGACTCGCCGTTCAGCCCGAGCCGGACGAGACCGGACGACCCATCACTCCCACTTGCTACCGCGCAACCGCTACCACAGCAGTTTCACCCACCACCGACGCTGCCGCCGCACCCGCTGCACCACTATCTCAAGTACCCGAAGTGCGACTGCCTGTTCTGCGGCGGCGACGGCACATCGCCTCCTCGTCACCCACTACCGCCGATGCTACCGCCACCACCGCAGCAGCAGCACCTGCACCGGACCATGCACGACGACAAGAACCCGCAGCAGCCACCCGTCACGCCCATGTCACCGGCGTCGCTGTTGGCTGGCTCCATGTACACGTTCGAACACTACCTGCACACCAAGTACCTGCCAGACATTTTCCGGAAGCGGCGGAGCCATTCCGACTCCGATGTTCCTATGTGGTTCGAAGCGACCAAAGCCGAACACTGCAGCGGTGGAGGTAACGACGACACGACCGCATCAACTGCTGCGGCTGTCCGAGTGACAGCGTCGGCCGCTGCCGCGACCATTGGTCGGAGAGGCAAGAGGCCGTTCTCGGTACCCCACCCGCTGGACAAGCCGGCTCGGAAGAGGGGCCCGAACGGATGCAGGTCGTCCGCGCCGGTTCCACCACCACCTCAACCGCCCCAAGACTCGCCGCTTGACCTGTCAATGAAGAACGGCGGCGGTTGTTGGCCGTTTACTGCGCCCGAACCCCCGGTGGCTGAACCCTCAACCACCATCGCCAACTCCGCGTCAATGCCGTCACCCCCGCTCCCGGCCACCGCCTCTTCCACCACTTCTCCGCCGGCCACGTCGGTGGTGTCTGTGGGTTACTACAGCCGGCCGGGGAGTGCCGGCGGTTACTCCGTGCCGGTGGTCAAGGGCGACGTGGCGTCGCGTACCACTAAGGCGTCGGTGGCCGTCCGGTACAACCTGGAAGTGTCGCCTGTCGTCGAGGAGATGCCCGTCGGCTCGGACGTGGCGTACGTGTGTCCGGTGTGTGGACAGATGTTTAGCCTGCACGACCGGCTGGCCAAGCATATGGCGTCCCGGCACAAAACCTCGGCGTCTTCGTCGTCGTCGTCCGGCACCGGTACGGCGGCGTCCTCGTCGTCGGAAAACGGCGGCGACTCGTCCGGCGGCACGGCCAAGGCGTACCCTTGCGAGGTTTGCAACCGGTCGTTCGCGCGCAGTGACATGCTCACCCGACACATGCGACTGCACACGGGCGTCAAGCCGTACACGTGCCGAGTGTGTGGGCAAGTGTTCTCTCGGTCCGACCACCTGAGCACGCATCAGCGTACGCACACAGGCGAAAAACCCTACAAGTGTCCCCAGTGCCCGTACGCCGCGTGCCGCCGGGACATGATCACCCGGCACATGCGCACCCACTCCCGGTACGAGATGGTCTCGTCATCTTCGGCGTCCGGCGCCGCGGCCATGGCCGCCGCGCTCGGCCTGGACCCACCGTCGCCCACCTCGCCCACGGGTGGAAAACTGTTGATGTCGCCCCCGCTCGAGGTACTCTGCAAATCAGAACCGCAGTAACGGTATGGTGGGTCTATCGCGCGGACTGTCTTGATATTATTATTATATTAACGTCACTTTTGTATAATGATATTTTAATAGTAAAATATGTTTTTATAATATTTATTAAACTGTATATCGTAGCTGATAATATTATTATTATTTGTATGTACATTTTTTAATCTTAAGAACGAATACACACACACACACACACATACACACTATACAATCGTGCGCACACAGCTTTTTGTCAAAACCAAAGATAAAATAATAATAAGTCTTATGCGTATGGATAACTATTATAAACATTGTATGTGCTATTATTATATTTAATTGTTTATTCGTTTTCCAGAACGATTAAATGTTTTTCGTATACATCATAATATTATTATGTGTATTATAATAATAATAATATTATATTATATTATAATGCCTAACCTAACCTCGTAATACTCTCGCGTATTATGTTGTTATTATTATTTTGTATACATTTTTTTTTCGTTTCGTCGACGATATACGACTCTACCTGTACTACTTACGTGTCTCATCGCATACCACGTCAACATATTTTTCGTATAAAATATATTTTCGTAAACCGACAATCTCCGTCGTGGAGTAGTCTTCGTATATCGACGACGACACAAACGTCCGCGTGCGTCATATTTTTTTTTCTACTCTAATTATTTTTTAAATAAGTGTAAACAGGGTGTGTGATACTATTATTTTGTATATCATTATGTATTATGTACCGCGACGTGCCATCCTACGTAAGTTCGTTTTTTATTACCATTTATTTTTTTCGTTTTTGTACCATTGTTATCGTCGCGAGATTTTCGGCTTGGTTTTCGATGCATTCGGGTCGTCCTGCAGCTATAACTTACACAGTCAACCGTCATTATTCGTATATTATGTTAGTATATTGTTTTAATTTTTTGTTACTCCGCGCCGAAGCGAATATTTGCTCAAATTTAATAACGATATCTCCCCATATATCATATACCTGATTACGGGGAAATACCGTTCCGCAACGGGAAATAAGAAACATCGTGAAATCGATATGCGAAGCGACTGTTATTATTATTAATTAATTTTTTTTTTTTTCGTAATCGTTTGAAGCGTGTGTTCGTCGTCCGGTAAAAAATCAAAATTTTTTTTACGTGTACGCGTTTTTCAGCTCTGTCGTCCCAATAAAAATTACAACCGGATGAATAAAAAACGAAATTTATTTATCACGAAACGTCATATCGTTCAACATTTTTTTCTATCCGAACGAGATTATCACCATTTATACAACGTCATATCATATTAATATTATATTATATAGAATAGAGTATTATCATAAATAGTATACACGGACGATTGAATTATTATTACTGTATATTATATTTACAATACTATTTTTATTGTAATATTATAATATACAAAACGTGCATGATGTGATAGAAACTAAATGTTATAAAACCGTCGCGAGATTGTAAAACGGAAAACGGTAAAACAGGGACATAATATTATTATTATTTTTTATTTGTATAAAACATACCTATTTATATATATATGACATAAAATACTCGCGGGCTTATATATTTCTATTCGGACCGTATATAATATCAATTGAAAACTGTAATTTTTTTTCTTCGCATTAGTGAACGACGCAAAAAGATTGTCCGTGAAAAAAACCAATTATAAATTTTATATTTTTCCATTACAATATAAATAATTTAACACTATATTTATATGTACCTATGAATATAATATATTTAATATAATACTACCTATGTGAAACGTACGCGACGCACCTGTAAACGATTTTTTTATTTTCGTATTAATATATATATATATATATTATATAGGTACAGAGTAGTATAATACTATGTGTCGTCCTATATCTGTGTATGTCTATTTTTATTTTTACTAAAGTGCGACGTGTGAACCTCGTCGTTGTCTTAATAATGTTAAGCTTTGCTCAAATCCATGTGTTAAGAGAAGACCAATAGAAATTGTGTAAGAACTGCAATGTGTTATGTTTCTATCTGTTTTTCCATACCATTTTTTTCAATGAAATTTTTTTTTTTTTGCATATTTGTGTACCGTCGTAATATTATATTATAGTATTTTATAATATCATATGAAAATAATAACAATATTATATGTCTGTGCCGTTCTGTGTTTGTTTACGCGAGACGAAATTGAAAAAAAAAGTTCTATTAAATATATTTATAAGAAAAAAAATTTTGGAGACTTGAATTTTTTTCTTTCCTTATATCATATCATATACCCACGTCCTGATGAGACCCGTGACTGATCACGGGTATGTCTACATTTATATTGCTGATCCGTGCCCTTGATCGCAGCCTACCACCTTTTAGGTATATACTATATACCATATGTCCATAGACTTTGTATATAGCTATAGACGCAACTGCGAAAGTGCGTCTGCAAGTAGGGGAAATCCCCCTCCCCTGGACTTTATATCTTAACAGTTTTACAGGCCAAGGGTCACAATCGGCGGAGAGGTTAAAGGGAGCACTTGTCTATAACTGACATTTTGGCGGGGATCACAAAGGTATCATTTCCCCCTCCATATATGCCAAAAGTAGAAATCTTTAATTATTCTAAAATAAAGTATATATACTAATTACTAACCTATAATGATGAGGAAAATAAAAATAATTTTTCCACAAATCATAGCATACCTAATACCTTAGTATTATACGTTTCTCCTGTTGTGTAATATTTTGATTGTTGACTTATTATTGTTAACATTATTGATTACAAGAATAGCCTAATAACACTATTTCATGAATTATATAAGACTACTGAATATTTTCATCACATTATTTTTTTAAGTCATAGCACCCTTTTTTAATGAAGTCTTATGTACCTACTTAAAATTATTTAACGATATGAGGGGAGGCCGGGAGGGGTGCATACGATTCTTTTCTAAGCTTTAAAATGTTACGCAACAGGTCACAATAATAATAATAATAATGATAATTATAATATTTATTTGGGAAAAAACTGAAATTTTTTTTATTGATTAATATAAAATATTTATACGTAATTTAAACTTCGATATTATCACAATATTGAAAAAAATCAGTATTCGTCGTTAAGTCGTTTATTATCTACCGACGTTCAAACATATTTTATACGAGACTGCAGTATTTTTTATTTATGTATTTTTGTGTAGAATATTACAGTTTTTGCTTATCGGTCCTATATATTATAGGCTCATTAAATAGTAAACGCTCTAGGAGAAATAGACAATCAATGTTACCAACGAGTTTCAATAAAAAAAATAAACGCTACATTTTGGGCGGTACTTCTTTATTTTAAGAGTATCAATTTAAAAAAAATATCAAAAATATTACAATTTACGACATGAGTAGTATCCAAATCAATATTCAATTTATGAATATGTATATTTCTTTTTTTAAGTACCTATGTATCTTATTATAATACATTATATATGTTAAAATATAGCTTTCAGGTTTTTTTTTTTGACCATAAGTCCCAATATATTTTAATATTTATTTTGTAGGTTTAACTGGGACGTAAAAATGTACAGATTTTAATTTAACGTCCAGCTATTATGTCACAATTTCATAATTTCAACAATGTCCATCATAATATATAGTATATACAGATTATTACAAAAATATTTTAGTTTACTATAAATGAAAATAATACATTTTTTTTTCAAACTTTTTTATTATACTGTATTTTACTTTATTTTAATTTTGTAAAGACGAGACATGAAAGGAGTTATGTATATTTTATAAAGTTATATAGGCACACATATGAACACTGGTCACTGATTTTAAGTTATTATATTTAAGACCTAAAATATATTTTCATAAAGTATAATATATTGGTTTAATATTTTATATAACCTAAATATAATATAGTCTATATTATTTTAAGCCTGGATTTTCTAGGAAATATACATATTCAGATGTTATATTCTTCTGCAATTATAATTAAAAATGCCTTGTTGTGTATGGGTCTGGGTAGATACTTACAGTTTTTTTTGCATATTTTTGTATAAAGTATGTCCCAGAGGTCTTGTTGAAAGTATCTCAATAATCAATATACTTAAATGCAGTTTTTTTTCAGTAGTAAGTATGGAAATTCTGATTGAATAGCATCAGATTCGATTTTTTTTTCAAAAATTCCTAAATTACCAAAAAAAAATATTAAAATTTAATAAAAATCGATCAAGTTGGAGGTAATTATTATTTTGAATTTCTAAGAATAATAGTTACGTTTCCTATGTCACCGTATGGATAGTTAGTCAGTTTTTGTGTCACTTAAGACATAGTTTAACATGCAATTGTCTTAGGTCTGTGACACATAAATATAATCAGATAATAGTTTTAATCTTGAATAATAATTAAAAAAAAACAATATTTTAATACATGAAATCGAAAATAATTCATTACATTTTATTTATAAATGTTCGAAGTGAATTCCATTATTTGACCCACACAGTTGCAGTTTTTGGTCCCAAGCATTCTTAACATTTTCTAATGTCTCAGGTAAGATATTTTGAATATTTTTTTCAATGCTATAAGGTGGAGATCAGGCAATGAACACGATGGATACACAAGATTTTTAAAATAACCCCATAAAAAAATCCATAGGTTTTAAGTCAGGAGATCTTGCTAGCCAAAGTACTGGACCTCTTGTGAGTCCAGCATGCTATTCGTATTTTGCTAATGCATAGTCAATTTATGTGTCACAGTCCATAGACCTAAAACAATTTATTTCATGTTACATTGAAATTCAAAATAATAATTAGCTCTAACTTGGTCGATTTTCATTAGATTTTAATATTTTTTTTTGTCTGAACTTTATTAAAAAATATGATCAACAAAACAGCTATCTTGGAAATTTAAAAAATTTAAACGATGTAATGTCTAATATAGATTTTCAAGAATTATTTAAAGATAACTAAATAAATAGTTAACTTGCAGACTACAGTAATGCTATTCAATTAAATTAAAAAATTTCTGGAATAT